TGCACTGTCATTAGTCATTATGCACTATCAGGTATGCATACATCAGAAACAGGGAAGGTGCTTTTGGTACTTTTGGTACTTTGGCTTTTCCTAAATTAATTTTATTTGAATCAAATAACGGGATTTCGAAGTATCCGAGTTCGAATTAACGAAGATTTCCTATATTGATAACATGCAAACTGGGATACAAAGCGAAACTGCAGCTTCGGGGTCGACCTATGCAGTGGCCAAAGCCAGAACCTGTATAACAGACTTTGAATTATAAAGCCTAGATATTAATTTAGGCAATTTTAAGTGCATAAAAGGAGAGGGAAATAATGTAAGAAACTATACGTATGTCGTGTCAGAAGAAAGGATAGGAGGTCCGAAAGGCTCTAGACCTGGCTCTCTACAGATCTGTATATTATATAAAAATCATAATATTATATATTCTATTGTATTTTATGGCAACATATTTATTTATTAATATTATCATCAAAATTTATGTATTTAGTACAGTACTATTGTACAAAGTCGACACGTTATGTTAACTTCTCACAAAATTTATTAGTAAGAATGAAAAGAAAAAAAAAATCATTATTTTATTAGCATTGTTAACATCTATTATAGAAGGGAATATTCCATCATGTCGACTGAAAATTCCTTATCGGAAGCTTTAACAAATAGCCAGAAGGATCAGAATAGTGATTCTTTAGTGTTGTGTATAATAGCCTTGGCATACGTCATGACCATACCATTCTTAATGGTTACTTTTGGTAATCAGGCACATTTTAACTTATTTTTAACTGTTATTTTATGTATTTAACATTTTAAATACAATTTACGTTTAACTCATCTTTACCAATGTCCAGTCCAGAAGAAATTTCGTATTATCTCGCTATTGCTTCAAGATGGGGTGGTGAATGATAAGTTTTTCCAATTATTTTATAAGAATATCACAAGATTTAGCTTAAAAATCGTATCTTTAAAGCTGCAAATTGTAGGTTTAGCTTTCAATTAACAAGAAGTTACTTTCATTTACAGAATAATCACATGCACTGTACTTAAATGGCGTATACTAGTGATCATAATAAATACAATTGTACAAGGGATAAAAGATGTTATGGCGAAGCTTTCAACGTTTCTTTACTTGTTTTTACCATACCTAGCCTCAAATAAAGGTAGTATTGTGATCCTGTGTGTGTTCGAAAGAACTTCTAAGATATCTTTTATGGATTTATACTTCAACTGTGCACTTATAAGAAGTTTTTCATAGGCAAGAAAAATCACCAGATTCAAAAATCTGGTGATTTTTCAAGTGTTCTGGAGATCTAAATTTGTGTACTACTTCACATTACGGCCAGATGGCCGAATAATTAAGGTGGACCATACCCTCTGGAGGACCCGGGATCCAATCAAAATGAGCCGAAAAATCCCAGGAATTTTTCGGAGAATAAAACATCCGAATATACCCTGTCCCTCAGCACCCTGGCAAACCATTGTGGGCTTGGCCGAACCCATAATGGACTTCCTAAAAAGAGGCCCTCTTAGTGACCACGGCCGGATAGAGTAAAATGAAAACTACTACTTATTTTGATCCGACGTTTAGGCTCGGCTAATGAAAATCTCTATTTATGCCAACGATTTTACGCAACGATGCAACCTTGAAATAAACCGAATTTACGCCCGAGTTTCACAATGGCACTCGTAAACAATCGACCCGTCCTAAAAGAAACTTTCAAAATTACAAGCTGCTGGCCATCTGTTTATAGTTCACACAAATTACAGTAGAGCTTGAATGGAAAGGACTAAAAGTAAACCCAAAACAGCCAAGAAGAGGAAGGATTTCATCATTTATAAGACAATTTTCTATAAATACGTAATATTTACATTGATAATGATCTTATATTTAATATTTAGTGTGTTCATAATTAAATTTCACTTTCAAAAAGATATTACACAGGAATTAATCTGCCGAACGACGTTATATTTCACAGGGAGACGTCTGTAGTAATGGAATTTTATTTGAAAACAAAAAAAGTTAGTTACAAAAATATCCGCTAGGGCGGTAAGTGGCTTTGCGACGCCATATTGAATAACTGATATCTCAAAACTTACGATACATACGATAAGCTGTGTGGTTACGCAACAGCATGCTGAATACGCTGGCCTTTAAACCTCTGAGTGCTGTCGTTGAACATGCGATTTGGCGATTTCAACACGTTGATGACAATGGAAACCAGCATATCGACCGTGCTGTTGCGTAACCAAACAGCATAAAATTATGTATTGTACGTACGTTTCGAGACATTTTGGATTATTCACTATGATATCGTAACGCCACTTATCTTTCTAGCGTACATTTTTGTAACTAACTTTTTCAATCTCCACAGAAACTTCCCTGCGAAATATAACGCCATTCTACTTATTAGTTCCTGTGTAATATCTTTTTGAAAGTAAATTTTCAAACTTTCAGTGAGTATTCTGTCTACTAAATAATATTCTAAATAATTCTGAACGTAAAAGATATCGAAATAAACAGTAAATGAAGATTAAGATCCGGGTCCATGTCAGTCACAAACACGAACGTCACCCCACTTTTCTCCCATGACACTAAGAGGACCTTGTTTTTAACAAACCCATTATGGATTCGGCAAGCCCACAACGGGGAAGTCGGGTGATGTGGAACGGGACCATATATATATCTAGAAGGATCATCTCCCTAAAAGTTCCTGGGGTTTTTTGACCTGTCTGGATTCGATCTCGGGTCCCCCAGAGCAAGTAGGCTGCCACCTTAAAGCCTGCTATAAGAAGTAATAGATTTTTCATACTCTATTCATACCATTATTTCTTTTACAGTGGCACGTTATCCTGTGGGTATAAAGGACAATTGTATAACCCCACCTTTTATTATTTAAATTTCGACATTCAAATAACTGTACTACAGTAATGAGTAAGAATATCGAAATTTAAATTTGGGCCGTATAGATTACCGTGTGGTGCAGGTGCATTGGTGTACTGGCGCAACACAACATTTCACTAGCCAGAAGTCTCATTAAAAACGAACCAGGATTTCCCCCTCGATGATAAATGTTTAAATTCAACGCTATACGTAGGGCCCCCCTTATTCAAATTTGCCTGGACTCCCATGAAGTTATAATGCGCCACTGTTCTTTTACATATGAGACTTTTTTGTATCCTGCTAGCTTCGTATAATAGGGATCCAGCAGGATACAAAAGAATCTTTTAACGTCATTATGACATAATTATGATACTCCAGCCATTCCTAAGCATTTACATTACTTGCTTAGAGTATTTTGATGGTCCTAATTGTATTTTAGAACAACGTTTCTCTATTTTATGTGCCATTCAAGAAAATGACATCCTGAAATACCGCAATGGACAGTTTGAGTAATAAAATATACAATTGTTTTATTTATAATACTGTAAAATGCCCATAATACCACTTGCAAGACACTTTAATCTGAGTTAATAATGTTAAATCCCTTTATGGCTTCAACTAAAGATTTTAGTGGATTACAATCTGGGTTTTCTCTCTATTGCTTAAGATTAAGGTCTTATCTAAAGGTATTTAAAATTTAATTGGATTTTTATTATTGTTTAAAGATATAATACCATAAAAATTAGATATTAAATTAAAAAATAATCCTATTTAATTCGAATTTTAATGTAGTTGTTTACTATATTACAATAATACTCACGTTTTTTACCACTCCGTCGTAAAGCGAGACATCCATCTCTCGTAGATTAAATGTCATAAATTAAAATTGCTTTTCTATAAATACAATTCGAACAATCAGTCAAGATTTAGGGGGTGGCTATTATAAAATACATCATTCGAACATGGCATTCTACTAATAATAATAGAGAATTTACGCATGTCGTAAAGCGAGCGGTCGTAAAGCGAATACTTATACTTCTTCGGTTTATATATAAAATTCAAATCTAATACGTATATAATATTACGCAAGTACATTTAAATTAAAAATTATGCCTTTATACATCGATATTTGGAGGAACAGAATAACGATTTATAAAGTAAACCTGTGAGAAATTGTGGTTCGATTTACGACGAATCAATTAAGTCGTAAGAGCGGGGTAACTTGTTATGTATAAACTGTATTACATAATTTTTTCTTATAGATATTAAATGACTTACAACAGAGTAGACAATACTTCAGTTTCTTAAAAGTTATGATGAACAGAATATCGATTTATGACACCGAACGTATGAAGAATTAAGGTTCGATTTACGACGGCTCTTGTATGTACTTTCCAAGAATTAGATCACATTAATAATTAAAGTGTCGCTGTCCGAAACGTTCTTCAAGCAATATTAATAAATACACCTCGGTTAACTGACTTTTGGGCCACCCGTACTTGCTTATTTTAATTGTAAACGAGTACATTTAAATCGTCTCGAAAATGGCCGAAAGGCGAAAAACTGTTCAAGTAAATAAAGAAATGTCTGAAGTCAACACTACGCACGGGGCCCCCTAAATTCGAATTTGCCCGGGCCCCATGAAGCTATAACACGTCACGAAATATTGTAATTAAGGGAGAGGAGGTTTGCCAAAAGTATAGTACACGTTGTACACGACAGGGAGGGATGGGGGATCGAAAATTGTACACGTAATTAACCTACAAAATTATTGAATAATACATAACTTTCAGTATTATTTCGTAAGAAGAATAATATAAAATGTATGCAAAATAATACATTAAATTAATGTGCAGTAATAAAGTATATAGCAGAGTACAGTACAACTGCTGCTGCTGTGTAAATTCTGTTAAATAGGTAACAACCAGATGCTGTTTTACTTATAAAATTTTTACGAATTAGAAGGTTTACGTGACTTTATTACATAGAAATAAACGTACAGACAAATACAGAACAACTTACTTATTTAAAAAAAAAATCATACTGTTTTATCAAATGAATTTAAAATTTATACTTGACATAATTACATCACAAGGTTATATCGCGGCTGATAGTTTTATCGAGGGGTGAGTTCATTCTGTCGATAAACGACTAATGACACTTGTACAGAAGCCAGTAAAGTAATGAAATTTATTCTTTATCAAACATTTTAATATTAAAAAAAAAAGTTACTAAACTACTGTATAGTGTATGATACTATAGTGTATTTGTGTGTTATCAACACAGAGCGAAATAATTCCCAGTCATACCGATAGGTAGCACTAGAGTAGAGATGATAAAGTAAATTATTAGTAAAATGGCAGCAGAGACTACGGACGAGGTGAGTGATTTTTAAACAGAAATAACTCTTTAAATTACGTTTTTTTTAACCTCTATTTAATGCGCTGTTTAATAATTAATTTACATCTGGATTCAGGAGGAAGAAGAAGAAATGGAATCGATAAGAAGTGGGGTGGAAATAAAATTCGAAAAGAAAATTAGAGAAAATAGGAAAAAGAAGAAAGTAATTTGTTTGTTTTTTTACTAGTTTAAGGAGTTTAAATGCTAATTTTATAGAACGTTTCCTGTATGTGACAGTTTAACTTTGGCTTACTCACTTTTAATTCTATTAATAGTATGAATAGTTGTAAGAAATTTGCAACAGTTGTCGGTTTATTTTCTTATTAAATTTATAAAAAAATAAGCTTTAGAATGTATTCTAAATTCGAATTTTAACACCATTAATTAAGGTGTGCAGTTTTTTGAGCCACTTCTGATCCCTTCCTCCCTCCCGTGCACTTTTGCAAACTCTCCCTTCCCCCCGTTTAATTACGTGTACAACAGTTCGTGGACCCCTGGCATTGAAGAAACGACCCTTACTGATGATATTTATTCTCTAAATCCACTAATAAAGCAGGTACACTTTGACCCCTCCCTTCCAATGTGTACAATACTCTTCGTCATCGTCTTCCCTATAAAACTGTATATAAGTAATTTAATACACGACACCTGTAAAGGTATAAAATAATTTGTTTTTACCTATAAAAAAGTGAAGGTAAGTGTATGTCTTTCGAAACTGCTCTTCCTACGTAATTATTACCTTACATCATAGCAAAAAATTTAAAAAATGATCATGTAATTTTAATAACTCGAATGTCATTGTTCTCAAAATCATTTAATTACATTTATAAAACGTGATATGAGGCCTGAAAAATTTAATTTTAGCCCATGAACTCATGGGGTGTGTGCACTAAAACTGCACTTGTTTTCCTAGCCAAGCACACACACACACAGGTTATTATTCTTAATAATGACGTCAGATATAAATTTCGAAGGAGGATTTTGAAACTATTTTATGTATTATTTACATTTTTATATATAAATTTAGTTCGTTGTTCGTATTTTTAAGTCACCTCAATGACATTTGTCAGGTTTGACGCGCGCCGTCGCGTCGTACCAGTTCTGATATAACAATTGTCTATTTTCTAATTTAGAACGAAAGAATTCATTCCGAATTAGAAATTAGAATGTAATTTTTACAATATTTTGCAATTTTTTACTCATTTAAATAAATAAATGTGCGAGTTTATATTAATTGAAACGACTTGACACGGCCGTAGCGTCGCGTCGCGTCGCGTCGAGTCGCATCGAGAATCATTTATACGTAGAAATAACGAATAAATATTTAATATTTTATGATATAACATTAAAAATATATCTTTTTAATCTTAATTAGATTAGATAAGTGCAGATATTTAAATATTTATACAGTAATAAAGACAAAGTTTACGACCGCGACGACTCGACGCGCGCGCCATTTTATCCTATAGTACGTAATGTACTAAAGATAGACGTTTTATCAATAAACTGCGGCTAACTTCCTCTTGACACAGTTTTCTATTGTTGTATGTTGATAAATTATACGTTAAAATAATACTTTCATCCAGAAAAAAATAAATAAATACATACAAAACTTGTAGATATTTGGCATAGGTATAAGGCTACCCCCTCGTCTTATGCCTCCAGGAAATTTAAAAATTATAAAATAATGTAATTTTATGAGGCCCTTTTTACTATAAGTTCATATACAGTAATATGTAGCTGGTATCACGCGATTATACAAAGGGCCTTCGAAAGTTTATCGTAGGTAGAGCGGGCCCTTTTGTCTTTTTCTATGAACAGCCGTAGGGAAGGATTTAATGCTATTTTTTATTATTATTAATAGAAAATAAACTATTTAAGAGCCCTCAGGTTTCTTCTGGGAGTGAGAAGAAAAAAAAATCCCATTCCCCTCTCGATTAGCCTGATCACACGAGCTCTAGGATCCTACCAACACGAGCTACCTAGGGTCTATGGCTCACTTAAACTCCTCATTTTTCTCCCATAATTTATTTAGATATATTTAAAATTACTGCAAATTCTCTCGGATATTTTTAGTATCAAATGTACTATAAACTGCAGTATACTGGTTATTTACAAAACTCGTTTATGTCAATAGAACTTTGCTCATATAACAATTGTTTAACAACAGCAACAAATCTGGCGATGAATCGTCTACATTTTTAGTAAAAACCTTTATTTTTCGGGCCCTCTGGGAATTTTTCTATTGATTTAAATAATTCTAATCAATCGTTTAAGGCGTAATATTACGTCTTTATACATTTAAATCGAATATTTTTTCAGATTTCAGCACGCGAAAGCCGCATGTTTGCTTGTTGCATAAGTTTATTTTTCTTAACTTAATAGCTTAAAAATTGCGAAACTCTCCAATTATTATTTAAATTTATTTAATAAATATTTAAGAAATTAATAAATAAAATAAATAAATAAAATTCCAGAAAGAAGAAATGGAACTTCAACAACCCGAAACCTTTATAATCAAAGAGAAATTCCAAGTTCAAAACACAAATAAGAACGGAAAGAAAAATGTAAAGTATGCTTCTTATTAATTTATATTATATATAATTAATAAAATTTTTAATAATAATAATAATAATATATTTTCCATGTTTAACATGAAGATACAGAGCTATTCCCTATACAGGCTTATATTATATTATATTTGATTTACAGTCGACTCCTCTATAACACTGTTGATTATTCCGTTTTATATGAATTCCATGTTGTACGAGTCACTTAGATTTTACAAATACGTGTGCCGGGCTGTGAACGGCTCACGTATTTGTAAAATCTAGTGACTCGTACAACATGGAATTCATATAAAACGAAATAATCAACAGTGTTATAGGGAGGTCGACTTGTATATAAAACATAAATAGCCTAATTTCCATAGTAAATTGCTTTTAGTAGGGCTATTTATATAGACTTATTGATCAATACAAAATCTGTAACCGTAGCAACAAGTGATAAATGTACGAATGTGTTAGTTGGTGCGTATTGGTGTTCGATACATTCAAGTCAGATCGATTATAACCTGGTACAACCTCTAAACAACGGCCGCCATCTTTTCTGTAAACAAAAATGTACACAGAATATCCTCCAAACAACGGCTAATTTTTGGATTTGGGACCTTAAAACGTCGAGTAATGTAAAAAAAATGGAGGTTTTTATTCCTCCTGTATGTATGTGGGGGAGCGATTTTGTTCAACTTTGAACCTTAATAACTCCTGGGAATTTTGTCGAAAATTTATGAAATTTTGCATGAAGTTTTGTGTGTTAAGAGGGTTGATGGTATTAAATTTTACTGGTTAAAGGTCATCGGGGTGAAGAGATAGAATGGGAGAAATGTTCCTATCGTTTTTAGGGAACGTTACTCATTTACCTTAGAACTACTTTAATCTTACCATAATTGGTATTAATGGGGGGTGCTACAGCACCATAATCTCACCTTCGATACGCCTTGTACATATTATTAGGGAAATTTAGACAAATTTAGGGAAGTTTGTGCGGTGTTGCACAGTTTAGATTAATGATTTTATAATCTAAAGCAGGAAGAAGAAGAAACTAAACTTGTACAATGCGACGCCATCATTCCAGCCGAAGAACAACAGCTAAACACTTCCATGGCCATTGAGAAAAGTTGGATATCATCGAATAGGAAACTAGACTACGACATGTTAATTAAATGTGCGAGTTTATATTAATTGAAACGACTTGACACGGCCGTAGCGTCGCGTCGCGTCGCGTCGAGTCGCATCGAGAATCATTTATACGTAGAAATAACGAATAAATATTTAATATTTTATGATATAACATTAAAAATATATCTTTTTAATCTTAATTAGATTAGATAAGTGCAGATATTTAAATATTTATACAGTAATAAAGACAAANATTTAATATTTTATGATATAACATTAAAAATATATCTTTTTAATCTTAATTAGATTAGATAAGTGCAGATATTTAAATATTTATACAGTAATAAAGACAAAGTTTACGACCGCGACGACTCGACGCGCGCGCCATTTTATCCTATAGTACGTAATGTACTAAAGATAGACGTTTTATCAATAAACTGCGGCTAACTTCCTCTTGACACAGTTTTCTATTGTTGTATGTTGATAAATTATACGTTAAAATAATACTTTCATCCAGAAAAAAATAAATAAATACATACAAAACTTGTAGATATTTGGCATAGGTATAAGGCTACCCCCTCGTCTTATGCCTCCAGGAAATTTAAAAATTATAAAATAATGTAATTTTATGAGGCCCTTTTTACTATAAGTTCATATACAGTAATATGTAGCTGGTATCACGCGATTATACAAAGGGCCTTCGAAAGTTTATCGTAGGTAGAGCGGGCCCTTTTGTCTTTTTCTATGAACAGCCGTAGGGAAGGATTTAATGCTATTTTTTATTATTATTAATAGAAAATAAACTATTTAAGAGCCCTCAGGTTTCTTCTGGGAGTGAGAAGAAAAAAAAATCCCATTCCCCTCTCGATTAGCCTGATCACACGAGCTCTAGGATCCTACCAACACGAGCTACCTAGGGTCTATGGCTCACTTAAACTCCTCATTTTTCTCCCATAATTTATTTAGATATATTTAAAATTACTGCAAATTCTCTCGGATATTTTTAGTATCAAATGTACTATAAACTGCAGTACACTGGTTATTTACAAAACTCGTTTATGTCAATAGAACTTTGATCATATAACAATTGTTTAACAACAGCAACAAATCTGGCGATGAATCGTCTACATTTTTAGTAAAAACCTTTATTTTTCGGGCCCTCTGGGAATTTTTCTATTGATTTAAATAATTCTAATCAATCGTTTAAGGCGTAATATTACGTCTTTATACATTTAAATCGAATATTTTTTCAGATTTCAGCACGCGAAAGCCGCATGTTTGCTTGTTGCATAAGTTTATTTTTCTTAACTTAATAGCTTAAAAATTGCGAAACTCTCCAATTATTATTTAAATTTATTTAATAAATATTTAAGAAATTAATAAATAAAATAAATAAATAAAATTCCAGAAAGAAGAAATGGAACTTCAACAACCCGAAACCTTTATAATCAAAGAGAAATTCCAAGTTCAAAACACAAATAAGAACGGAAAGAAAAATGTAAAGTATGCTTCTTATTAATTTATATTATATATAATTAATAAAATTTTTAATAATAATAATAATAATATATTTTCCATGTTTAACATGAAGATACAGAGCTATTCCCTATACAGGCTTATATTATATTATATTTGATTTACAGTCGACTCCTCTATAACACTGTTGATTATTCCGTTTTATATGAATTCCATGTTGTACGAGTCACTTAGATTTTACAAATACGTGTGCCGGGCTGTGAACGGCTCACGTATTTGTAAAATCTAGTGACTCGTACAACATGGAATTCATATAAAACGAAATAATCAACAGTGTTATAGGGAGGTCGACTTGTATATAAAACATAAATAGCCTAATTTCCATAGTAAATTGCTTTTAGTAGGGCTATTTATATAGACTTATTGATCAATACAAAATCTGTAACCGTAGCAACAAGTGATAAATGTACGAATGTGTTAGTTGGTGCGTATTGGTGTTCGATACATTCAAGTCAGATCGATTATAACCTGGTACAACCTCTAAACAACGGCCGCCATCTTTTCTGTAAACAAAAATGTACACAGAATATCCTCCAAACAACGGCTAATTTTTGGATTTGGGACCTTAAAACGTCGAGTAATGTAAAAAAAATGGAGGTTTTTATTCCTCCTGTATGTAGGTGGGGGAGCGATTTTGTTCAACTTTGAACCTTAATAACTCCTGGGAATTTTGTCGAAAATTTATGAAATTTTGTATGAAGTTTTGTGTGTTAAGAGGGTTGATGGTATTAAATTTTACTGGTTAAAGGTCATCGGGGTGAAGAGATAGAATGGGAGAAATGTTCCTATCGTTTTTAGGGAACGTTACTCATTTACCTTAGAACTACTTTAATCTTACCATAATTGGTATTAATGGGGGGTGCTACAGCACCATAATCTCACCTTCGATACGCCTTGTACATATTATTAGGGAAATTTAGACAAATTTAGGGAAGTTTGTGCGGTGTTGCACAGTTTAGATTAATGATTTTATAATCTAAAGCAGGAAGAAGAAGAAACTAAACTTGTACAATGCGACGCCATCATTCCAGCCGAAGAACAACAGCTAAACACTTCCATGGCCATTGAGAAAAGTTGGATATCATCGAATAGGAAACTAGACTACGACATGTTAATTATACCAGGTAGAAATTTGTAATAATATTAATTAATAATAAGAAAAATAATCTAAATTTTAATTACAAAAAAAACAAGAAAGTATTTTAGGATTCTACGAGTTATTTTTCCCTCGAGGACGAAGACCAGATCCAGAATTGGATAAAGCTCACGAAATGATTAAACATATAAATACGACTTTTTTTAGCTGCGGTAAGTAAGTACATTTTCTCTTAATTATAATTAATTCTAGACGTAAAAATGTTAAAATAATTAGCGAGGTTGGGGCCGAAGTTTTCATCTGTAAAACGTGAACGTCGAACGTCGAGCGCAACTATCTTGTAAGCGATGCTCGACGTTCGACGTTCACGTTTGAGAGATGAAAACTTCGGCCTCAATCTCTCTATTAAAATAATATGGAATATAATGCGCACTTTTACACGTTTTCAATGTAAACCAGTGTAGTTGGTGTTCCATGCCAGACCTTTATATAAGATACAGTGTGCGCTTTATATGTTGCAAAGTAGGGAAATTTCAACACAAGTCGCTTCTTACTTAAAGTATTTATTCTAGTTACATTTAATTTCAGTTTTATGTATGGCAGTTTTAGTATATTTCATCATCATTCCGATTCTGATGATCATTTTTGGTGCGTAAGTTTACAATTTATTGCAGTGTTTTTTTTTTTAATTTATGAAGCAAATTTACTCGTTTTGTAACCTCTTTTCAGGTACGATCTACTTAAAGGAATGTCCAGCACAGAAATATTTACCAGTTTTCTTGATAGTCGGGGGTATAACAATCATCATAAAGACACTACTAGACGTTAGTTTCCGATTCGTAAAGAATAAGAAGAAAGAGAAGAAACGTTTTACACTCCCTCTAATAATTCTACAAATATTTTTGTTTTCTTGGTTTGTGACAGGTAAAATTTATAAAGGAATACATATTTTTAAACGCTTTTATTTAGCATAAGTAGACCCCTATAACACTGTAGATAATTTCGTGTTGTACGAGTCACTTAGATTTTACAAATACGTGTGCTTGGCTATGAACGGCTCACGTATTTGTAAAATTAAGTGACTCGTACAACATGGAATTCATATAACACGAAATTATCTACCGTGTTATAGGGGGGTTTACTGTAATTGTTTTGTATTGTTCCCTCGAATTCCGCACTTCTAAGTAAAGGAGGCTGAAGCTTCGAGGACCCATCCTAATCCGATGACAATGAAATTTAATGAATTAGGAAAGGGTCCATCCCCACAATTAACCCCGAAACCAGACAGATAAACCACCAAATGTAAAATTTGTGTGCAGTATAGTGATGTATATGCTCGGGTGACCCCACTCCATCCCCATCCCACTCCCATTTTACAGAAACGTAACCAATAAAAGCGTTTTTTTATGTATTAAAATTACTTTTACGTTTATTTAGGTGTGTTAAACACTGTTAATTGTTTCAGGTTGTGTTTGGGTGTACGAAATGTATCCACCTGTTTACGATGATAATTCTGATTCACGATATTGTAATAGGAACTTATATTTATTTACATTTTGGACGATTAGTTCTATTTTCATTTTAGTGGCTGTATACATATGTTTCCTGTGTCTCTTCACCGGAGTTCTGCTCGCTTGTCTGTACGTAACGGATAAAATCTATTCGTAATACCGAACTTTGTACAAATCGTAAATTATTTGTTTACTTGGACGGATTATCGTGTTGAAAATGTGATATTTTTTTTTCTACAAAAGTATGTATTTATACATTCCTTTTTAAAGGGAAGTTTCTTAATATAGTCGTGTTTGTTGGAATTTTTTACGTATACATTAAAGAAACTTTGTTTAAAAAAATATGTTTTCTATATGAATGTGGTGGTACGGAGAGGTGCAAACCCACGACCACTGTTAGCACCTCTCCAACAGTGAAACTTTTCACGTTTTATCACGCTTATAACACGTAAATAGTGTATAGTTTCTCATAGAAAGTCCTCCCTTCGGCAGTGTCGCGTTTTGCCGTATACAAATTGCCGTTCTTTGTTTAAACAAGAAGAAACAGATCTTCAGTGTTAAGGGAAAGGAACAGACAAAACGTGGAGTAAAAAGGTATAAAATCTACTCAGTTCTACAGAAAATCAAACCCCGAAAAGTGTGGATTACTTGCGAATTTGTCTAGTTTATTATTAAAAAACGAATTACAACGAAAGGATTACTAACATTTGGCATTCCTACAACGTTTTGTAAAGGAAATTGCACTATACTATTTATAATTGGTGAGTAAAGATGTAGACAACACGCCTCAGATTCTCGGAGCCAAGCGCAGCGAGTCTTCTATCGCTTATACTGTATAAAAAGTGTTATATTCAAATATACCTTAATGTTTAATTGGATACTTTGGTATAGTGTTATATAGTAGTCTATCCAGGAAATTAATTAATAAAAATATATAAATTAATGCTTAAGGTGTCTGGAGACCCTGGAATCTAATCCGTGAGAGAAGACCCAGAAGTTTTTCATCGGCGGTTCTGTCTCAGGTCGTTGGGACCCATCTTGCAGCCCTCATTGTGAGACCCTCATTGTTGGTTTGTTTTTTGGCACAAAAGCCACACAGGCTATGCTGCGCCATGTCAAATAGTATACGTAATATATATATAACAATGTAATAAATATGGATTTAGACAAGACCACAATGGGGGGGGGGAGAAATTCCCTCCTTATAAGGGCGCACAGGGAGGAGAGCCCCAAAAGTCAGTTATATCTTTTATAAACGATTGAAATTACAAGTTTTTTTTACCTTTTATTTTGCTAAGATGTAAATTCTTTTTAAAATTTTATCCATTTATCCAAGAATAAAAGTTTATTTTGGGAGTTGCACTTTACACGTGGAATCTTCTGTCGTTTCGTCGTGTATCAAATTGTATTGAAACTCCTCGACAAAAAGATATAATGCATATTTATATATAAATTAATGTGTGTTTTTGACGTGCTCGTTCGTTCATAAATTAATGCATTCAGAGTTCTCTCGATTGTAAATACCATGCTATTTACATAAGGGGAGTGCGTGATCGATTCTATTCTCGGAGGTAAACAATCTTTATTGTATAATCGAAGGTAAAAATTCGAAAATATTTTAAATTTCAAGTATTGTATTTGAAATTGTAGACCTATAAATTCCCACTATCGTCCGTTTGTCTGTCTGTCTCCTTTCTTAATCTGGAGAACTGTTTGGTAAGTGTCAAGACCAGATATCTTAGGGGCAGGAAGCCCCGATTTCCATACATGAACTTCCGGAAAAATTTTGAATAGAAATAACGTGACTTCCGGTGAAATCTACTGAATGAAGGTACAACTTTATTGCTAACAGGAAAAGTATGATGTACTTTACAGGGGTAAAACACTATTAAAAGAATTGAGAAGATTGTGACGATGTCTCGTCTTTATCCTCAATATTTTTCCATTTTATAATAGTAGTAGTATAAGATGTTTTTAAAATAAAATCTCCTAACGGATGGTGCCACACGTTAACATTTTTTCCGGGAAAGTTATGCAACTTGCTGCTAGATTTTTTTAACCAGTGGTGGTGGATTCACTCGCGCTTGACCAACAGCTGGTTACGTGGAGTTTTCGGGTTATTTTCTCTATTTAGGCGTTATACACGAAGTTTTGATAGAAAAAGCTGCCTGGGCATCCGAAGGCGCTCTCCCTTGGCACAAGTATTGAGTTGATTTATCACATTACTACGATACTTTCTATGCAAAACGTACTGCAATAAAACCATTTGAATGAAACCTTCTGTAGGCAGTGAATAGTGAAAAACTAGCACCACTGGCGGAAACGTCCTGCCCTCGAGCGAAGGCCCCAAGCCCTAAGATGTTCCCTAAGCAAAGTAACACTTGACGACAAGCAAGCCAATCTTAACGACTCCCCAAAAAAGTTACACGAAACAAAAGAGGGTCGTGCAGACTCAGATTTGTCGATTTCTTTCAGGAGAAAATCCCGAATCTGATCTAGAAAATCAGTGGAGATAAAGAAAGCCAGCTGAATGGCCAATGGTGGACTTCAAGAATGATGGTAACCCATAGCTCTTCGTCAAATAAGTCCTCAATTCTCTCTGGAACTTTAGAATGCTTTGGTTTAATACCAAGGAGAGAGGGTTTGCTCAAAGATAAGGCAGAAGAACTCTACTTCCCTCCTTGGCATACATGTGTCCCTCTTGGACCCGGCTGCATCACTCGAGTGAGAGAACTCCCTACTGTGACGCTACAGCACAGATCACCACCAGGATAAGGTGAAGACACGACGGAGAGGAAAATATGACTCCCGGCTTGTTCTCATCCTTGTCGCTCTGCTTCACTCACCACAAATCCCATCGAGTGAAACGATTCGGGTATCAATGAAAAATCACTCGAACGACACGGGCCACAGGGCAAGAAGGTTCTCAAGAACACCTGAAAGATATAATGCTCGGAGAATTGGTTTCCATACTCATTTCGTCCGAAAAAAATCGTCGAAGATCCGTCCGATTGTTATATTTTTATTATGTTGGTTGTTATGATTTTATTGTTTATTTTATTTTCAATACACCAATATCTTCATTGATGTTTCGTTTCTTTTTAAATACCAAGTACTCTTGTACAGCCCACGTGCTGGATAAAGATGATTAAACGTATTGCAAACGCTGAAGAGAAGAATATCAATAAAATTTTTTTTGAAATTGATAAACACACTTTTATGAACTAAAACCGGAGTGAATTCAATCGCCTCTTCACTATCGACCACTTTGTTTTTTCTTTGCTATTTTTACCATTTACATCAATTTACAACTATTTTAATTAATGAATAAATATCCTTGAAAAACATGAAAATAAATACATTGTGAAAAAATAATTTTCTTTTTTAAACTCCCATCCGCCCATGAAAAATTCCTGGACCTGTCCAGATTCGATTCCGGGTCCTCCAGAGCGGTGGGCTCCTCCATCCAGCCATTGCTTTGCAAATTAATATGCCCGAGTGTACGGATAACCATGGATAGATTTAACCATGACGTCAAGTCTCAGATACAGCATTTATAATTATTTAAAAATCTGTGGAGAAAGAGAATTGTGTGTTCCTGGAAATAGCTGATCACTTGAACTCTTGTAGAAAGTGTTAATTATCTTTAATTCAGTACTAATTTACAGTAGACAGGCTAGGCTGACTGCCTCGTCCATTCTAAGACGATCCTGTATTGAATTCCGCTGGAAAACCCTTCAAAAACTTTACATGAGCGGTTGCCCTTCGAGGGCCTGGCTATAAAGTGCTGTAAAGTGTTTGTGCCCTTAGAAGGGGAGTCAAAAGTGTAATAGAATTTTGTAATAAAGTACTAAGCAGTATAATTTTTTTCGGCAATTTATATGGTCTCTATTGTATCTGGTATTCGTGCCTGTAGCAACGATAACAATCGGTAAGTGAATATTCGTACTGTTTTATAAATGCCACTTACTGTTTTTTTTTCTTATAAAACATACATTTTCAGGTGTTTTATACAAAGACGACTGTCCAATGCTGCCTATATCATTAATAATAGGTGGGGTATTAAAGATCTTAAATCGTTTTAGATTCCATATTTGGATGTGAAAGATTTCAAAAGATAATTCCTCTTCGAAAGATTATACACAAAAACTCGATATTAGCCTTCCTAGTATTTTTTAAATTAAAGTATTCTAGTGCTTTGCAATGATTCTGCAAGTTTTAAAGCTAAGTAGATAATGGCCTTTTAGCACTGCAGTAAATAAGTGCCTCGGGTAAAATTTATGCCATGATTTCATCACAGGATGAGCCAAGATAGCCGATTTAGATTCACCTGTGTATATGAGAGTTAAATTCTTGTTACTGTTTATGTGATGGGTCTCTACAGATAGCTGTTTATACACTTAGTTTGGGATAGATTATGAAACTGCTTTAAGCTGAAGTCCAGTGTTATAATAGCATATCACCTGGTTAACTCCTATAAGCCATGGTCACACCTAACTATTTTAAAGTCACACTTTGAAGCCTGGTATGAATACTATTCGGATGCCAAATTCTCTGTATTTGCTATAGAAACCAGTGGGTGTTAGCGGTATAGGCAAGCATTCAACACATTGGAATTTTCCATCTACAATGTTTTATGAGTGCCGAAGCCTTCGAAGTATCCATAAGTAGCACAACTATTTCACAAATTGTCAACAATGAAATGTGTACAAGACACGTACTATATCTATAGTCTATAGTCTATAATACTGTAATTAATTGGAAATTGTGATTCACTTTCCTCATTTAACAAACCCTAGTTCACAAGAGCGTCCAAAGCGGACAAAAGTATAAGTAAATAAGGGCAATAAGCACGTATTAACACGTACTTTATCTCTTTAAATAAAAAGTTTTATTTTCAAATGATAATCTAATTTGCACAGTTTTGCGTTTTATTTTCTTCGTTAAAATAATGGGAAGTAATTTAAAGTAGAGCCTCGATTATCCGACCCAATTGGGGACTGGGGTTAGTCGGATAATTGAAAAGTCGGATAACCGAAAAGTATGAAAAAATCCATTATTAGTGTAGTATATTATTATATCCCATGTAATTAGTATATTAGTATATCGCTGTTAACCTATTTCGCGTTGAATATTCATCGATGTTAAGCGTAACAAAAATTTTTTAAAATAATAATCGTCGCTATTGTATCGTTAAAAACTAGAAAATTAAGCCTCGTTTAAATACTGGCTCCCTTTCATGGTCGAATGAGTG